GAAAGAAAAGAAAAAGGAAGATAATTTTTTTCGTTGAGCAATAATTGTAAACTGAGGCCAGACTAGCCACACCCACGCTGCCGAGCGTTCATTGGCTGAATGGTGGCGTGAGCGATGGGCGAAGGTAAACATATGAGAAAGAAGGGAAACCTGTTGACGCCCTCTTAGAGTATTGGTGTGAGATACGAATATGAGAAAGGAAGAATTTGGGAGGACAATTCCCTTAATAACCCCTCTAAAACAGAAAGTAATGGACTTCCAAAATTGGAAAGTGATAAATTTTTCTGTCCGAAAACAAAGAAAATCCTTACTGCGGATTTGGAATTATCGAGGAACGCAAACCACGACAGGCCCCCACCCGGTTTTGGTCGGCGTCCATATAAACGGAGTTACAGCGCAGAGACAGTGGCAATTGGGCAGTTGCAGTTCCGAGCAGACGCAAACAGAGTGACAGAGCAGACAGAGTTGAGCTGTGAGCTCGCAGACCAGCCTCGCAGGAGCGGACTGAAAGATATCCACGAATTCCGACTTAGACTTCTAACCAAAAACAAATTATTTTTGAAGAACGACTTATACTCACACCACCAAAACAAGTTTTACGAATATCGCCTGAAGACACCAAAAAACAGTTTCTTGAAAAACAACTTTAAGATATTACAACTCGCCTAACAAACGCAAAGTGTCACGTATCCATAGAAGCGGTTTGGGAGAAAGACCTAGTCCTGTATTCAGCAACCAGATATAAAAATATTTGTTATTCTTTTTTTTTTAACACATTTGAATCTTTTATTTTATTTTTGTTATTTTATTTTATTTTACATATACTTGTGCAGTGTCACCTTTGCTCGAATTCGGTTTGCACTACTGTCCGACGACTGATTGATTTCTTCTACCTAAGATCAAATCACAACGTGGGTAGGTTAGACTAAAATCAAAGCAGTTATTTCAGTAACCAGACGTTGGAGGCGAGCTGGGAACGACAAAGCTGATACCGAATCTAACCAGATGCCCATCCGAATCAGCCAAGAGTTAGAACCTCACATTTGGCGCCGCGATCAATACCAAGTCACATTAGTCGTCACAGGATAGCACGGGGCAGAGGCACAGGGTGACGTCACAATACTTTAAAAATAACATGCAAAGGGTTGATAAGCCGAAGAAATGGAATCAGCCAAACCCAAATTATTAAAAAAAAAAATTATTCTCACAATCAAATGATTATTTTGATTTTAAATGACACGCAGAGGGTAAAAAAATCAAACCAAATTCTCTGTAGACTACTGGAACTACTACATCCTTGGTTTGGAATTCTCTTCCAATGTCAACTGAATCTAGTTTTCGGTTTGGGTTTGGGTCTATAGATAATTAATGTTAATTTTTTTTTTTTATAGGAAAGTTTAATAATGAACAAAGGAATGAAAAGATATGCATCTCTTCAGGAAATGGGTGATCGTGGCACTCCCCGATTGTCCTTTGTATCATTTAACAATATTTATCTTTTCCCCAACTTCCCCATTCCCCGTTCTGCTAATCGTTTACACAAGCTCGTTAGGGAGCTTATCGCTGTTTTTGCCTGCTATTAATATTGCGGGTATCAAATTTTCAAATCCTTCTTTCCTCTTTATGTAATTTCAGCAAACACTTTCTGCTTTTAAGTACCAGTGTCATTTTTTGACATTCTCCTTAAAACTTCCTTATTAGTCATATGTTCAGTCCATGGTATTTTCATATTTTTTCTCTAGAAAACAATCTCTATTGTCTCAAGTTTACTTTTCACCTGTGAGGAAATTGTGCAGTATTCGCTGCCATATAGGAATATCGAAAACCCTTTTCTTTGTTTCTAATGATTTTTTTCCTTTTTTTATTAATACTTTCTTTAGAAGGCGTTATGTCTTCTAAAGAATGTAAGATAGGATGTTGCAAACCTCTCGCTGCTTAATCATTTCATCCACGGAAAAGTGCTCGGACGAACCACATTCCTTGGTCCCACCGAGACAAACCATCACAGCAAGGACACTCCATGCCACTTGCATAGTAGCAAATCATACACATTCCCTTAATAGACCATCGACAAGAAGTAAGTCCCACATAAGCAGCTTCTTCCGCGAACTAAGGCCTGTGGAACCAACTACCAACAGGATGTTTCGCGAATCATTAAAATCATAACCTGTTTAAGGCTAGGGTTAATCGTCATCTTCCACTCCTATACACATAAATGATCTCCAAACTTAACCTTCTACCTCGAGTGCCCCCTGGGGCTTTGTAAAGATTGAACCCTATATATATATATATATATATATATATATATATATATATATATCTTTTAAGACATATTTATGTTTGTACATTCTTTTTATAGATACAAATATTTACGTAAATGCTCTATTCATAATAAACAGTATTAAACAACATTTACCGGCCTGAATGTCCGAGAAATTTTCATAGAAAATATTCGTCCTCCTTATAAAGTGTGACGTCATTTGTTTACATTTGGATACGCCATGAGCAGATATGAATGTACGTGAGAGAATCATGGAAGATTGTATTTTAAAGACAGTAAAATCAACTTTGCTAACCGAACGTCCTTCCGTGGACTAATCGGTTAAAGGCACGTCAGCTTATATGCTGGATACCGGTTCGATTCCTGTCGGAGGATGAATATAGAAAATTTATTTTCTCGGACATTCCAACCCGTAAATGTTGTTTAATACTGTTTATTATAAACAGAGCATTTAGTTAAATATTTTTATCTATAAAAAGAATGTATAAACATAAAAATGTCTTAAAATAATTGTTGGACTTTGTCTATTTCATAATATATGTATATGTATATATATAGTATATGTATATATATATATAGTGTATGTATATGTATATATATAGTATATGTATATGTAATGTTATTCCAATGCGAATTTTGCTTTCGGTGTCACAGTTTTTGTCTTCTTTTAAAACACTTCCCAGATTTTTACATTTTTTTTATTTTGTTCATTTTAGATACCCAATTCATAGATGGTATCCAGGGCTTTGTCTTTTGTTGAGATGCATACATTCTATCTTCTCAAAATTAATAGTTAGTCCTTTCTTCAAACTTTACTACCGTCACTAGTAGTTCTTGTGGTTTTCTTTTCTATACCTGCTATAAATCTGGGTCATCTGCATACATTATGTTACTACTAGCAGCATGGCCCGGCGTTGCCCGTGCTTGATTAAAAAATAGTACGACTAATACAGCAATCGCTATCACTTAAAATATTTTTGCCTTTCCTTGCCTTATTAGGAGTGCCCTTTGCCGTGCTGATATTGTTACATGCCTTACTTCTTGCCCATCTCACACTGCCAACTTTTTCTAAGCTCTATAGTAAACATTAAATCTGTTACGGAAAAAGAACTAAACAAAATAAACACAATACGATCAGCTTTAAAAAAAAACCCCGGAAAAAACGTTTTTAAGGGTTGACCGATTGTCGATTTGCACTCTGTTTGGAGGGTGGGATGCTCAGAGTTGAAACCTCACATGATGACTCCCAATGGCCTCTTCATAAATCCGCTCGGTTTTCGCTAAAAACCGACATGCGGTTCAGACGCAATCTGGGCTTATCGGTTTTTGGGTTTTATCGATTTTCCGCGCTGATTAGGGGCCCGTGGTCATGAAACTTCTGGACAACACTTCTAATGGTAGACTCTAAGAGGGTGTCAAATTTGGTTGAAATGCGATCATTCCTTCTGTAAGCAGATTTTTTTTCGATTATCGATTTTTTCGATTATCGATTTTTTCGGAACCTGATTCCGCACTCAAAAATCAGGCTCCGTCATGTCCTTACAGCAGCCATTTGCAAACTAGTGTTGAAAACCGCATCGAAATCGGGTGAGAAATGCGGTCTGGGAGAGGTAACAACGCCCACAACAGACACACAGACAAACAACAGATAGATAGATAGATAGATAGATAGATAGATAGATAGATACCTCCACCAATAAGAAATCCTTGTAGAACTTTTAATTCTCTCAGGACCATCTCGTTGTAAGGGTTGAATAAGTCAGATGAGAAGTCACATCGTTTGTTTTACGTCCCTTACTATTTTTGTGGATTTACTGAATTCAGTTTCCATCCGTCACATATCTTCTAGCATAAGAATTGTTGCAGTTTTTTGTGTATATATGTACTAGTGAGTTAGCCCAAATGACTTGACTCACTTTATAGTCCACCAATAGAAGGTTAACCAATCAGAAGATGTAGAATATTCAATCCGTCGGGTTTAAAGGCGGCCATTTTGTTTACTCTCTCCGAAAGTCCAGTATCAACTTGTCAGGCGAAGAGAAATAGAAGGACGAACTACGCTATGCTACTTTTACCAAAATATCCACTGCTAACCTGAACAACGCTTTCCTACTGTCTTCAAAATATTCATTGCTAACCTTTGGATTCTATAGTCGAAGACGACCGTCATCATGAACAACAAGAATTTCTTTTGTTTTGAATTGCATAATGTCCAGTTTACCTGAGCGTCGATTCAACTATGTAATTAATAGTACCACCGGAATACTGACGATGTTATTTAGCAGATCATTTCTGTATACGGAAATGTTAGTTTCCATATTTGCCAAGATTTCTCGGTGGTGATAAAGTCTTTCTATTAGATCAGAAATCACAGCACTTAAACTATTATTATCTTCCGTATGCTTTGCATAACGATAGGTTTCAAGTCGTTATTAGGCAATCTACGCACGAAAACCAATCTTATTTTAGATCAAATGTAACTGACCAGTAACTATTATCTCTCTATATAAAATTTAATACCCATAATTCCCTTCGCATAATTCATAGCAAGTCCATTTTAGACATGCAAACTCCCGCTATTCTCCATTTATTCTACGACAACTCGAGTGATATTCTTCTCCAAATATTCTTCAGGTGAAACTCCGATCATCAAAGTAAAATATGTTAATATTTTTCGTCATTCTATAACAATTTAATCCACTGTAAGTTTGATTCAATTTACGGCCAAATCATGTTGGAAGACCGTTTCTCGTCCGATCACTAAAGTTAAGCAACGTCGATCCTGGTCAGTACGTTGATAGGTGACCTCTTAGGAATAATGTGTGCATCCGGTGTAATGGATAACGACTCGTAATGGGGGAGTTGTAACGTAACAATTCGTTCTTCATCCATGAACCAAGGGAAGACTAACAAAGGACAATCACAGACGAAATCTAAGAAGAAATTTGATGGTTGTTTATTGAAAGCACTCCTCCCCAAGATCTCGCCATCCCTGACGTTCATGTGGCGGAATAGGCCATTACCAAATGTGTGTTGATAGGGGGTCGCAGCAGCTGGTATTCCCATGCGATTAAACATCTGGGTACTGACTAGGTTCAAAGTTTTTTTTAACTTTGAGGAATGGACGAGAACCCGCCATTCAACGTGATATGGCCGTAAAAGAGGTCGATATTATCTATAAGCAATTTCCTTGACTAACAGAACATTTTGGAATTTGAAACTGGTTCTCCTAGTCGTGGAAATGCCGGCTCTTTAACCAATCGAGTACGTGCTAATATAATGGTCTTGCTTATTTTTTTGTTAAACTATATATGCATCATATTTATATCGACAACAATCATCTACCTATGGATTGTCGTAAGTCAGTGAATAGACTGCATCAGTGATTTCAGTGATTCAGATCCTAGATTTTATAAGAAATGAAAAATTGCTGAATAGATCTTTCCGGTGTCCTAACAAGCGCTTTTTGAACATTCCACTTCAAGAGTTATGGATGTGTAAAACAACTTCAGTTTTTGTAAATGCATCGCGCATCGTTTCTGCTGATATTGATGCCATAGAGTTTAGATCAAAATCTAGGATCGATGAACGAGTGCAGTTTCTTGCAGTTCTGACCAAACATCAGGTTCGTTGAATGGGTGCAGTTTCTTGCAGTTCAGATCAAACACCAGGTTCGTTGAAAGGGTGCCGTTTCTTGCAGTTATGATCCAACACCAGGTTCGTTGAAAGGATTCAGTTTCTTGCAGTTCTAATCAAACACAAGGTTCGTCAAAAGGATTCAGTTACTAAGAGTTCTGATCAAACACCAGGTTCGTTGAAGGGATTCAGTTTCTTGCAGTTCTGACACAACATCAGGTTCGTTGAAAGGATTCAGTTTCTTGCAGTTCTGATCAAACACCAGGTTCGTTGAAAGGGTGCAGTCTCTTGCAGTTCTGATCCAACATAAGGTTCGTTGAAAGGTTGCAGTTTCTTGCAGTTCTGATCAAACACCAGGTTCGTTGAAAGGGTGCAGATTCTTGCAGTTCTGATCCAACATTAGGTTCGTTGAAACAGTGTCGTTTCTTGAAGTTCTGACCCAAATCAGGTTCGTTGAAAGGGTGCAGGTTCTTGCAGTTCTGATCAAACACCAGGTTCGTTGGAAGGATTCAGTTTCTTGCAGTTCTGATCAAACACCAGGTTAGTTGAAAGGGTGAAGCTTCTTGCAGTTCTGATCAAACACCAGGTTCGTTGAAAGGGTGCAGTTTCTTGCAGTTCTGATCAAACACAAAGGTTCGTTGAAAGGGTGAAGCTTCTTGCAGTTCTGATCAAACACCAGGTTCGTTGAAAGGGTGAAGCTTCTTGCAGTTCTGATCAAACACCAGGTTCGTTGAAAGGGTGAAGTTTCTTGCAATTCTGATCAAACACCAGATTCGTTGAAAGGGTGCAGTTTCTTGCAGGTCTGATCCAGCATCAGGTTCGTTGAAAGGATTCAGTTTCTTGCAGTTCTGATCAAACACCAGGTTCATTGAAAGGGTGCAGATTCTTGCAGTTCTGATCCAGCATCAGGTTCGTTGAAAGGATTCAGTTTCTTGCAGTTCTAATCCAACATCAGGTTCGTTAAAAGGGTGCAGTTTCTGGCAGTTCTGATCAAAAACCAGGTTCGTTGAAAGGATTCAGTTTCTTGCAGTTCTGATCCAACATCAGGTTCGTTGAAAGGATTAAGTCTCTTGCAGTTCTGATCAGGTTCAAAGCGTGCAGGTTCATTGAACAGGTTCATTGAAAGGATTCAGTTTCTTGCAGTTCTGATCAAACATCAGGTTCGTGGAAAGGATTCAGTTACTTGCAGTCCTGAACAAACACCAGGTTCGATGAAATGGTGCAGTATCTTGCAGTTGTGATCCAGCAGCAGGTTCCGTGAAAAGGTGCAGTTTCTTGAAGTTCTGATCCAATATCAGGTTCGTTGAAAGGATTCAGTTTCTTGCAGATCTGATCAAACAACAGGTTCGTTGAAAGGGTGCAGTTTCTTGCAGTTCTGATCCAAGATCAGGTTCGTTGAAAGGATTCAGTTTCTTTCAGTTCTAATCAAACACCAGGTTCGATGTAAGGGTGAAGATTCTTGCAGTTCTGATCCAACATCAGGTTTGTTGAAAGGATTCAGTTTCTTGCAGTTCTGATCAAACACCAGGTTCGTTGTAAGGGTGCAGTTTCTTGCCGTTCTGATCCAACATCAGGTTCGTTAAAAGGATTCAGTTTTTTGCAGTTCTGATCAAACACCAGGTTTGTTGAAAGGGTGCAGTTTCTTGCAGTTCTGATCAAACAACAGGTTCGTTGGAAGGATTAAGTTTCTTGCAGTTCTGATCAAAAACCAGTTCCGTTGAAAAGGTGCCGTTTCTTGCAGTTCTGATCAAACACCAGGTTCGTTGAAAGGGTGAGGCTTCTTGCAGTTCTGATCAAATACCAGTTTAGTTGAAAGGGTGAAGCTTCTTGCAGTTCTGATCAAACACCAGGTTAGTTGAAAGGTTGCTGTTTCTTGCAGTCCTGATCCAACATCAGGTTCGTTGAAAGGGTGCAGTTTCTTTCAGTTCTGGTCCAACATCAGGTTCGTTGAAAGGATTCAGTTTCTTGCAATTCTGATGAAACACCAGGTTCGTTGAAAAGGTGCTGATTCTTGCCGTTCTAATCCAATATCAGGATCGTTGAAAGGATTCAGTTTCTTGCAGTTCTGATCAAACACATGGTTCGTTGAAAGGGTGCAGTTTCTTGCAGTTCTGATCAAACAACATGTTCGTTGAAAGGATAAAGTTTCTTGCAGTTCTGATCAAAAACCAGGTTCGTTGAAAGGGTGCCGTTTCTTGTAGTTCAGATCCAACAACAGGATCTTTGAAAGGATGCAGTTTATTGCAGTTTTCGATCAAACACCAGGTTCGTTAAAAGGATTCAGTTTCTTGCAGTTCTGATCAAACACCAGGTTCGTTGAAAGGATTCAGTTTCTTGCAGTTCTGATCTAAAACCAGGTTTGTTGAAAGGATTCCGTTTCTTGTAGTTCAGATCAAACATCAGGTTCGTTGAAATAATTCAGTTTCTTGCAGTTCTGATCAAACACCAGGTTTGTTGAAAGGGTCCAGTTTCTTGCAGTTCTGATCAAGCATCAGGTTCGTTGAAAGGATTCAGTTTCTTGGAGTTCTGATCCAACATCAGGTTCGTTGAAAGGGTGCAGTTTCTTGCAGTTCTGATCAAACACCAGGTTCGTTGAAAGGATTTAGTTTCTTGCAGTTCTGATCCAACATCTGGTTCGTTGAAAGGATTCACTTTCTTGCAGTTCTGATCCAACATCAGGTTCGTTGAAAGGATGCAGTCTCTTGCAGTTCTGATCAAACACCAGGTTCGTTGAAAGTATTCAGTTTTTTGCAGTTCTGATCAAACACCAGGTTCGTTGAAAGGGTGCAGTTTCTTACAGTTCTGATTAAACACCAACTTCGTTGAAAGGATTCAGTTTCTTGCAGTTCTGATCAAACACCAGGTTCGTTGAAAGGGTGCAGTTTCTTGAAGTTCTGATCCAGCATCAGGTTCGTTGAAACGATTCAGATTCTTGCAGTTCTGATCCAACATCAGGTTCGTTGAAAGGGTAAAGTCTCTTGCAGTTCTGATCAAACACCGGGTTCGTTGAAAGGATTAAGTTTCTTGCAGTTCTGATCAAACACCCGGTTCGTTGAAATGATTGAGCTTCTTGCAGTTCTGATCCAACATCAGGTTCGTTGAAAAGGTGCAGTTTCTTGCAGTTCTGATCCATTATTAGGTTCGTTTCGTTTCTGAAAACACCACGTGCAGTTTCTTGCAGTTCTGATCCAACATCAGGTTCGTTAAAAAGATTCAGTTTTTGCAGTTCTGATCAAACATCAGGTTTGTTGAAAGGATTCAGTTTCTTGCAGTTCTGATCAAAAACCAGTTCCGTTGAAAGGATTCCGTTTCTTGCAGTTCTGATCAAACACCAGGTTCGTTGAAAGGGTTCGTTGAGGTTTTCTTGCAGTTCTGATCAAACACCAGGTTAGTTGAAAGGATTCAGTTCTTGCAGTTCTGATCAAACACCAGGTTAGTTGAAAGGTTGCTGTTTCTTGCAGTTCTGATCAAACAACAGGTTCGTTGAAAGTGTGCTGTTCCTTGCAGTCCTGATCCAGCATCAGGTTCGTTGAAAGGGTGCAGTTTCTTGCAATTCTGATTCTGAAACACCAGGTTCGTTGAAAAGGTGCTGATTCTTGCCGTTCTGATCCAACATCAGGTTCGTTGAAAGGATTCAGTTTCTTGCAGTTCTGATCAAACACATGGTTCGTTGAAAGGGTTCAGTTTCTTGCAGTTCTGATCAAACAACATGTTCGTTGAAAGGATAAAGTTTCTTGCAGTTTTGATCAAAAACCAGGTTCGTTGAAAGGGTGCCGTTTCTTGTAGTTCAGATCCAACAACAGGATCTTTGAAAGGATGCAGTTTGATTGCAGTTTTCTTGCAGATCAAACACCAGGTTCGTTGAAAGGATTCAGTTTCTTGCAGTTCTGATCAAACACCAGGTTCGTTGAAAGGATTCAGTTTCTTGTAGTTCTGATCAAACACCAGATTCGTTGAAAGGGTGCAGTTTCTTGCAGGTCTGATCCAACATCAGGTTCGTTGTTGAAAGGATTCAGTTTCTTGCAGTTCTGATCAAACACCAGGTTCATTGAAAGGGTGCAGATTCTTGCAGTTCTGATCAAACATCAGGTTCGTTGAAAGGATTCAGTTTCTTGCAGTTCTAATCCAACATCAGGTTCGTTTGAAAGGGGTGCAGTTTCTGGCAGTTCTGATCAAACACCAGGTTCGT